TAGGGGACTGAGATTTTTGACCAACGATGTTCTTTGACGCATTCAACCAAACCTGCCGGTTTTCCGTTCGCGTGGATCCCGACTTCCGCGCTGCGAGTGCGGCCATAGCCACCACACATAACTTAGGAAAGTTCCAGTTCTCAGTAGGAAATTTGCGGGGTTAATCCTCAGTCACTCAATCACTTGTAACGTCAAAAGCGTTGAAAACGGGAATTTTGGTGCTAAAAACGTCGGAAAGTTGCATGATATCTGTTGTCAGAGCCTATTACGATTTGAGCCGACAGAGTAAGCGTATGTTTGTTCTTCAGTTCGGCCGATTCATAAGTGGGCGGATGGACGGATCCATGGGCGCACCATGGGCCAACACTGCTGCCCACGTTAATCCAAATTTGAGTATATTGCGTAGAACAATATTCGTCAACCACTACAAAGGTTTAGTTTACGATAGCCGTCACTTTTTTCACCTGAGACCGCCGTCGCACATAACTATTAGATATTGGACCAGATCGGATAAGCGGACGCCGTCGACGCGTGCAAAAGTTGGCTGAATAAGGCGACAGCCACCTTTGATGTCGTAGACATGACGTGGTGTGCACGTAAAATTTCGAAAGAAGCGAATAAAGATGGTAAAAACTACGTCAGCTTTACGTAAAATGAGCACATATAAGTTGCATAAGGTTGGTATAAAAGCATTCGATAGAATCTAAGAACGAGACAACTCTGGAGTGAGATCAACTCTAGACTCCCGCGCAATGCCGCTCCTGTAGTTGCTGCCTACTGTTGTACCCGTCATTGACAAGGTGACTGCCTCCAAGATTTGGCAAGTACTTACGTATATGGCAATGACTTTCAGAACCTTGCTGCGGGATTTCTATCCGCTGTTTAGAGAAGCGCTTTGATGGCTATCAGATTAGGACCCGAATGAGCTGTCGGCTGCATTCGTATAATGCCTTATTTGACCAGATACTTTTCAGTCGTGGTTTGATAATGATAGCCCTGTCATAGGTATGGGTTAAACCTGTGTTCTAGTGAGCGAGCCACTATAATTTCCTTTGGTTTCTCATTTTTAATTTTTTTAAGCATGCAAAAGACACTCCACGTTAAAGGATGGCGACGATCCGAATTGAATGGCAAAATCTGGAATAACTTGCATGACAGTCCGTGATGTTATGGTAATGTTGAGAATAGCCCTGGATTGTTGATCAGATGAAAATCAATCAATCAATCAATCAATCAATCAGATGAAAAATATGTGTTCAACCTTCAAAAAGTATCGCAAGCCCAACGTTGCAATCCTGCGGTTCTGTCTTCGCCATGTGTGTTATGTTTGAAAATATTTTTGGCACATGCCTTCGGAGTCTATTTGCGCAAAGTTACGCGTGAACATATACGTGTGTACCGAAGCCCGTTGAGTTATTGCGCAACAATTGGTGTTATTGCACTGCCATCGATAGCTAACAGGGAAGATGGCATTCTGTTCTGTTAACTGAAGTAGGCATCCTGGAAGCAGTGGCTGTCACGTACGGCCGATGTTTTTACGGCACACACGGCTGCGTATCGGTATTCTTGTGTATGGTTCTTTTCAAAAGGACGTTAGAATTAGTTTTGAGAATGTTGCAGTTGAAGGGATTTATGTGGTCTCAGCTGCTTTTCTTGGACATGGTCATCCCGATAAGACTTGACATTCCTGAAGTAATCTGACTAATTTGGCAAAGGTCATCGTTTAGTAAACCTTCTGAAGTTTTCGGGCAAGACAAGCGTAAAGATTTTGTCTGCTGTGATGCAGTACTGGTTTTTGTCTTGGGACGTCAGGGGATAATCTAATCCAATCTTAATATCATTTGAAAGTCTGAACATGTGTCAGAGCATTACTCAAGCCCCACAGACAGGGCATCTATCACCTTTGCACTCCTTGCATGGCTTCCGCACCACGTGGAGAGAAGGTGAATAAGTCCCCCAGCTTTTGCGGGACTCAACAAGGCCCCATTGACGTTCCATGGCTTAAACTCCGCCAAACACACCTTCCCAGGCGTCCAGCCGCGACCTGTGAAGGTGTTCACCTGCTTCCTTGGAGGCTGGTAGGATGGTGCCCAGCGGCGGTGCCGGACGTTGAATTTTCGCTCGCATTTCACGTGGCCCGTGGGCAAAGGGGTCGCCCACGGGTTTTTTAAGCTGCTCCGAAGTATGATTGGCCCACGCCGCCAGCCATTTGCGGAGTTCCGTTGCTACAGACATGTGACCTGTTATCGATGGCGAAGAGGTGAGAGTAGTTACTTCGGCAGTGAATTACTAGCCATGATCGACGCTGCGATGACATTGTAGGTGTTTAGAAGGCGATTGGATCTCGCTCAGTCGTAGCTGGGATCCGAGGAGGGCCTCCCGCTCGTGTCCGCCGTTGTCCCGTTTTCTCCGTGTTTGATGTCGGGCTGGGGACCCACGCGGCTTGCTGCCTGCTGGCAGACTGTTACAGCTAATTCATTAGCACCTGTCTGGCGAAAGGATGCGACCCGAACTTGTGCGACTGGCAGCGTTTCAAAACGGAGCGGCCGCTCTCGGGGCCGGGAGCCGTGTTTGCACGGTTACGTCTGCCTGCATCTTCTGCAATAGTGAGCGGTGGACACCACGCGACACTGCATAGCGGAGCTTTATTGGGCCAAGAGGTACGAAGCACAACAATCGCGTTCGCAAATTATATGAAATCAGCGCCAAACGCGTAGATCCGACACTGCGGCCGGTGCGGTGCCTGTCTTGTTATAACTGGCCGGGATCGGGGCTGCGGCATGCTCCACTCAGACCGAACCGAACTGCCTGACCCAGCAGACCGGCGGAAGAGCAGGACAAAAGTCGGACGACCAGCGCGGAGCGTGCAGAAGTCAAGGGGCGCTCCTGGCACACGAGCCGTTGTGTGGTGGTGAAGCCAACAGCTTTTGTCGGCAGACAAGGCGTTCGTGCGTGACACCTTGTTGTGTACGCCTTACAACGCGTGCACGAACTGGGCCGAATTTCCCCAGGCTGGGCTGGTGACATGCAATGATCGTACAGACAGCGCGTCATTAACTTCCTCCCTTCGCTTCGGATGGGGTACGGTGTTTTGAGCCAGGAGCTGCGGATAAACGCACTCCACTAATACCAGCGTTACGTCGATTTTTCCAGTGCCAGCGACGGCGGGCCACGATTAGGGAACAGCTCACGTCATGAGCTGGGCCTTTCCGAGGTGGCCGCGTAAGCCCGGCGATACGTCGCAGACTACATGTTAATGGCGGCGGACACCGTCAGATCGGCGTGTTAAGCGGTGCACGCCGGTGCGCTCCGGCTGTCGCTTCAGCGGGTGACGCGCTGCGGCGCGCCGCGTCCCGCCTGCCCCAGCGGCGCCGGTGCTGCCCCCGCTCGGCGCCGGCGCTGGGACGGCCGGCGGCGCGCCCGACGCCGGCGACCGTCGGCCGGCCGCCGGACCGGCGCCGCCACCCCGGGCGGGCCTGGGCGTATGGAGATGAGCGGCGCGGGCCGGCGGTGGGACTTCACCTGCCAGTACATCAGCAGACGGGTCGTTCCGACGTCGGGCCGCGCTCGGTGATGGCCCCGCTGCCCTCAGCGGTGGCGCTGTCCCGCCGGCTCCGGAACGACAGCGGTTACTGAGAGGCGTCGCTTAGCAGCTGGTCGCGGTTGAGAGTGGTGACGCGCGCAGAAGGCGTGTTCAGAGTTTCACATGGGTTTTTACGGCGACTGAGGTCGGTCTCCCCGCGGCCTGAAGCGTGCTGTTTGAAATGTGAAAGCCATGCCTTTGCTCTTTGTTTTCTGATGTATGATAAGCAGTTGTTATCGTGATATGCCATGTCGGTAGTCATTTGCAAGAGCACGAAGCGTTTGCAATATTTAGAGCGACGGTTGCTGGTGAGGACGGCCCAGTTAACTACAAGATTCGTAGTTCTTGGCCGACATTCACTTTCATGAGATAACGAAGACGGCCTTGTTTAACCCGCTAAGCCGTGGGATTTTATATCATATAAGGCTTTGGTGTGCTTGGTTGATGGTGTGGTTTGCTCGTGACACCAGTTTCGACGTGGGAAAGCCGACGAATATATGCCGTGTTCATCGGCCAATACTCATCGGTCTTGGTCGGATTCGCTTCCACGCGGCCTGTGGCGCGTCCTTGGCTCCGGACGACGCTGACGCTTCCCCTAGCCCCGGAATGACACACGTGCTCAGCGCGCCGAGCTCTCGACTGAGGCGGTCGGCGCCCCGTGCCGCCCGGCGGCGTCCGGGGACCGGGGCGCGAGCGAGCGTAACGCCGCGCGACAAGGCACGGCGGCGGCCGTCGTCTCGAGCATGAGGCCGGGCGCCGCCAGGCAACGACCTTGCGTCCGGAAGTGTCTCGGCGGGTGCGGACGCGGGCGTGGCCCGCCGGATGAGGCGGCGCGTGCGTCACGAGCGCGCGGCGTAACGCGTCTGTCCTTAGCGCGCCGGCGGCAGCGACGGCCGAGGCGACTGCGACGCTGCTGCTCTTTCGCCGCCAGGTCGGCCGCTCGTGTGAATTTTGTGTCCGGGGGCGTTATCCTCGACACGGACGTGAAGTCTGACGGGCTTATCTCGGAAGCTTTTTCTGTGTGCTGGCTGAACCCGGCCATCACCGAGTTCGTTACTGACAAACGGTACCCGCTGAAATCTTTGGGAAGCGTCCTTGTCCCCATTGTGTCCGGCGGCTCATGCTGCTGCTGTCTTGTTGTAAAGATGAGAACTGCGGGTTTTTATAGTCTTCGGAGGTGGCAGCCATTCAGTAACATCGCCAGCCAGGGTCTACTGAGCATGTACTGCAGCGGCGTGCAACCAGCGTCGCTCCATGAGCTGCACACGTAATATCGTCAGCACTTTAACCGGGTCCCGTCTCCTTCGTCCTCCGTGCGCCGGGGCCGTGCGTGCGTCATCACCCCGCGTGACGGCCCCATCCGCCGCCCCGGTCAGTGGCCCGCCACCGCCCTGACGTGCCCGTGACGCGCCGACAGATACGCGTGCCGCTGCCGTTCGCCTGCAAGTCGCGCGACCTGGTGGTGGACATGCAGCGCCGGCGGCTCACGGTCGGGCTCAAGGGCCACCCGGCCGTCATCGACGGCGAGCTCTCGCACGAGATCAAGGTGGAGGAGTCCACCTGGGTGCTCGAGGACAAGCGCGCGCTGCTCATCCACATCGAGAAGGTGAGGGGGCGCCGTCTGCGGCGCGGCGCGCGCGCTGCCGACGACGGCAGGCGACGCCGGCTGCGGCGGTCGGGCCGCCCACTCAGTTGAGCTGATGAGACCTTGTTAAATTAGAGAGTGGGACGAAGATGACGCGCCAAACTGGCTTGTGTGTGTGGAATGTTTGGCGGGTGAGTCGAAGTGCCGTTCTTTACAGCGCGCTGGGAGCAGGGCGCTCGCCCGTTCCAACCATGTCACGCCGCGCCAACACACGCGCACGCGGAGAGAAATGGCGGGTGTCCCGCTCGTCGCGCGGGTTCCGAGTACACAGGGGAAAGACGCCGTCCGGTCGCTTGCCCGTCGAGCCAGATCTTTCACCCTAACGGCGTCACGTGTCGCGGTCGAGTCGGTGCCGAGGCTTGATGTGGCCCCGCGCCGGGCCGCGGCCCACGTGTCGCCGCGGTGCGTCGTGACGGTCGGCGAGCACGTGCCGCGGCACAGGCCACGGGCCACGGCCATGGCGACGCTGGGCGTCAGTCGGCCGCGTTTCCTGCGTGTTTCCCCGCCAGGAGCGCGTCGCGGGCCGGCCCCAGGCGCCGGAGATGGCCCGGTGTCGTGCGCTTCTTTCCTGGCCGACCCCGGCGGAGGGCGGGCTGTCGACGCCGCTGCCGCGTCAGCTGCCGCGTCATTCTGCCTGTCACGGGCGAGGCACGTGGCGCAATCGGTCGGCCCCGCCGTCCGAGCATCGGTGGGTAGAGCTCTCATCCTGGCCGTAACCCCATGCGCTGCCGAGCTGGCGAGCGCGCGGGTGGCGCGGCACTCCGGGCGGGGATGTGCTCTCCCCCTTCCCCCGTGCACCGGTGTGCCCGGGGAAGATCAACGGTCGCTTAACCGTGTGGCGGGCCTGACTCACCCCTGATGGGTCAGATCTTCCGAGAATAGCCACCGCTACTCGCGCTGGGTCGAGCGCGAGGACATCGCGCCGGAAATATCTCGACCTTCCGCAGCTCTCCGCGCTTTGTTGTCGGCGTCACCTCATGGGGTTTTCCGTGTCTGCATGCTTGCGCGAGTTAGCCCTTCTTTGGTCCTTCAGTTTGGTGGAGAGAGTAAGCGAATGTCAGACACCCTATTTTTGGTTCATTTCGTGAGGTTTGGTTTATGGCAGGAGGATTTTGCCTGGATGCAACATTTCACTGCTTCAGAGTGTACAATTATACTCTTGCTGATGTGCTCTAATCTGGTGAGGCTTAGTTCTATGGGGCACAGACAAGGACCCGCTCAGTGTAAACGCCCACACCATACTGTGTTAATTTAAGGAGTATCATGGGAGAGGTGTTGTGAACTCAACGTCATACGACGACGCAAAAGGCAGTGTTTAACAGTCAAACGCAATAGCCAACAGCACTGTGTAAAATCAGCAGGAGGCCGTCTGTGGAGTGGGACGAGCGAGATCGTCCCAGATGTTCGAGGTGCCCGTTGTTTAAGCATGTAGATCGTGTGCAAAACCAGTGCGATGGCCCCAGACACCTTTGACAGCCCATGCCGGTAGACTTTACCGATGTGTTCGAAGGCCTACCATTCGTGAACATTTTCTCAGGCTGATCTCCACCAATGTCACATTCACGCCTTAATTCACTTGAAACATTGCGTGGAATCTACAGCTGATTTTGTGTTCACCCTTTAGTTGGCAATTGCTCAAACTGAGGATATTTTTGTCGGCGGCAATTTTAGTAGAGGTTAATGAGAAGACGATTACCGTTTTGGCCATTGCGGCCAAGGCCCACTCACGTGGTCACCTGCTTTGGCTGCCGAAATCTGGCATAAATCCACGAAAAACAAGCGGGTGAATCCCTCGCTGGCGTTCAAAAACACATGACCGTTCGCACACATCAGCTCACACTTTTGTCATCGCGTGTGTCTGTGTCCTCTGACAAAAGCTGCCGATCTCATCGCGGCTACGCGTGATCGTAAAGATCTGGTCACTTTTCTACACGTGTTCATTGGGTTATTTTGCAATGAACGTGCCTTTTCTATAACATGGCGTAATGTTCTTGGTATTCTGGCCGGTACTTGGAATATGTTAATTGAATGTGAGTGCTGGAAGCGGAGAGGTGTTTGCAATGTTCTTAGGATAGTCCGCCGTATCAAACAGCTTGTGCGTCAGTGCCTAACAGTGTATACTTGTGCACAATTATGTATAGTTATTGTACAGTTACAATTAATTAATATCATAAGAATAGGAGTTTAATTACTAGGATTATTAAGATCTGTTCCATAAAACTTACATTCTGCGGAGATCCGCCTCACGTTGCGGAGAACTGCATGATCCCGTGATCGTGTGTTGCAAAGATATTAGCTTCTATTAAGCGGGGCGAGCGGGTCCGTGCTAGGCCGCCCAAGCTGAAAATGCTGCCACAGTTCAAGTGAGACTCGCTTGGACTGCAGCCTCGCCCGCAGCAACGGTGCAGTGGGCGTATTTACCGTTAAATGTACGTCGGCCGTGGCGCGCCTATGCCCGTTTTTGGCAGTGAAGGCTTCCGTTCTTGATATCGGTCGCAAAAGACTATTAATCTCGAAGGCTGCGTAGTGTTTCCCCGGTGTACCGGCTGTTGGGACGGCCTTAGTGACGGCCTTTCACATGGCGGGGAAAACTGCTCGGCTGCTGGTATGTGGACTGCCTGGTCCAAGATATAGCGACCTTTGCCTATACCGGTTGAGAGGAAAGTTTTCGTTCAAACATATTTCTTGTCTCATGATACGGATACTGCTTGGTTGAGTTACAGAACAGTATATCGCGCGCGTGGCTTTCCCTTCAGTGTTTTTTGGTCATGTATGTATGCGATCGCGATGTGCCCGACCGCAGTTTGGATATTTTGTGAACACCCGACATCATTTTTTGCATGATATTCTGAACGGAATGCCACATTTTCGCCTCTTTGTCTATTTTCAGAGTGAAGTTGCATGTCATGAACGGTATCCTGTTTCCTCCCGCGTTTACGTGCGGTATGATAAGCGTAATGGTTCCCAGGAATAATTAAAAATGCAATGATGTGTGGCTAGAAAAAATAAGATAATGCGTTCTCGAGTCGTACCGCCCCAGTATGCTGGGCTGCCCCGTTGGTACTCATGAAGCAGCTGGCCGTTGCGTTTTGTTGCTGGTGGTGTTGATTGGCTATCAATTATAAAATGCTCCCGTTGATTGTTAGCTATCACACACACATAAGAGCGGTAACTCAGAATTTCTTTAAGAAGGTATAGGGTTTCAATGGCTTTTGTCCACGTTATATGCTAAGTTATTCCCGTCTCAGTCCAGACAGCTCTCCCAGACTCCGTTGGGGACGGCCCGTCGCAAGTCAGTCACGCGCGGCTGAAAATTCTGCGGAAGTCCACTCCCATAATACACGGAACCTCCGTGTTCTCGGAAGCATACAGTAAGGCTACACGCTATATTTTCGCCACCTGAACAGAAGGCACGGTCCTCCCGAGCAAAGGAAGAGAACATTAAGATCTGGTGCTTGCGCGGGTTGGAGGGCCAAAGCTTATTAGCACGCGGCAGTGCGCCTAGTACAGTGTTGTGTAACACACTAATGTTAGAGCCAGTATCCAAGAGACCCATGCACTCGATGTCTGAAATCGTGGCGAAAAAAAGTCAAATCATTCAGCGGCACGGTGTGGGACACGCTTCACAGTACAGCCCGATTCGCAGAGAGGTGGTCGCAGTTAGCTGAAATGGAAACCTCAAAGAGACCGAGTCGAGGTGTCCGGTTGCTGCGGGGATCTTGAAACCCGGGTCCGGCGTCGGGACGCCCTCCCTGGTTTCCCGACCCGTAAGGGCACACAGATACCAAATGCCCAACACGACTGCACACAAAGCGGGCCCCGTTTCGGCTGCGACAGGCCGCAGCTAGATGACCGGCAGATCCTCGAGACATGGCAAGCACGCCGAGCCCGTCCCTGGCGCCTCACGCGGGCAGACCGTGTCAGGCGGGGCAGGCCCGGAGCCAGCTGGTCAGCCTAAGCCTCTCCAGATCAGAAACGCGAGAGCTGATCCAGCACCGGCACTGTCACGGCAACAGTCTACCTGCCTTACAGTGGCAGTGGCAGACTTATCTGGCTTGGCGGACGCTGCGCGTCTCTCCCCGGCTCTCCGAACATTATTTTTCAACAGCACCGACAAAAGACGAAATTATCGCATAAAACTCGCGAACAAAAGACAACAGCGCCAGGTCACCCTCCTGCCCAGAAAAGGCCTGATCCACAATATTTTTAAACTTAATCACAAGCGAATCCAGCTAGGAAGTCGAGGGGAGTCGAACCACAGCTCCCGCAAAAACGCGTGTGGGCGCCCAAGGCATTCGGTTTTGCGAACGTCACGCGGACCGCTGATAGTCGATCTATAAGCGGTCCGCTGGGCCGCTGACAGTCACGCGGACCGCTGATAGTCGATCTATGAGCGGTCCGCTGAGCCGCTGACAGAGTCACGCGGACCGCTGATAGTCGATCTATAAGCGGTCCGCTGGGCCGCTGACAAAGAGTCACGCGGACCGCTGATAGTCGATCTATGAGCGGTCCGCTGGGCCGCTGACAAAGAGTTAAAAGCGTCCCTGGTCACGCCAGACAGGCCGAGTGGCAAGAAACGCAGCTTAAAGTCATTGTCCCAGCCATACATTGATGCAAATGTCTCGAAATCAGCAGCAACTCGATTTAAGGAGGACCCTCTCCCCTGAACCCTGGAGCCGACATGATCTCCCGTAAATCGAGACGGCCCAGCCATCCGAATACCTTCCGCGAGCCCTCTCAGCCTCGGAAGAACCGTTACTGCTTGGACCTTCAGTTTTCCACACGCTGCCAATTCCTTGACTCTCGATAAAAAATAACGCGCAGTACACAAAGAATAGCGAATCCACGTCATTAAACAATGCACAAAAGAACACATGATCAAAGACACAGCAAAATTAACCTATCTCTGTCCGAATGTGGTGTGTTCAGCGTCAGTAGGAACTAGGTACGCTGAACCTCTGGTCGTCCAGCTGCCGCGCCAGAAAGGCGAGCGCCGGTATCACGGACCAGCGGTAGACGAGTAGGCTAGTCACCAGACACCAGCAGCAGACGAGCAGGCGCCACCAGACACCAGCAGCAGACGAGCAGGCGCCACCAGACACCAGCAGCAGACAAGCAGGCCAGCGGCTCTGTCCGTCTTCGGGCGACCAGTGCCAACGGCCAGCCGACTCAGCCCAGCACAGCAGACGGCTGGACTGGGAGACCAAAGGCGCGGGGCAAGGCGCCGCAACACGGAGCCGCGAAACCAGGAGCGGCGGCTGCCTTCAGCCCAGCACCAGCGGAACGAGCGGAACCGCACAAGTGGCAGGGCACACAAAACCCCCTCCCCAGCCCGCAGCGGAGAAGACGAGGCGTCCCGCCGCCTCGACGAGGAGCACCACGCGCCGTGCTGACAGCAGGACGCTGACAGCCGTCGGAATAACAGAGCAACGACTGCTTACCGGGCGGCACCAGCCCGGAAGCCGTCGCGCCATTCCTCAAACATTGAGTCCGCACCCGCTGCCACCATTGTAAAGCCTACGCTGCCTCAAGTTGTATTGGCGGTGTGGGTCCGACAGGACACCCAGCGACGGCCACCTCGATCCCCCCGCCCTCCGCCCTGTTCTCCTCGATCCCCTGCCCTCCATCCCTCGTGCGCCCCGCAACGTCCCGACCTCGCCGCCCGGTCACGTGACACACCGCCGCCGGCTACGGGCGGACGCCCGCTGACCCAGGGTCACGCGGCGGCCGACCGCGGCAGGTCAGGGCGCGCCAGACGTACGTCCAGCCTCACACACTCCTTCAGGAGGGTTCAAGATATTTCATCAGATGCGTTCGTCATTACGGTAATCAAGCGATGCCGTCCATTGAGCTGAGGCCCCAGCGAGCTCACCTTTCCTGTTAGTACTCGTGCCATAATCTGGCAGGATTCAGCCCAGATACGCCCCCGCCATGGTGTGTGCGCGCGTGCCGCCTTCCAACGTGACCAGCGAATGGCTGCTGCAGTGTATCGAGCGTGATTCGTACCGCCGAAGATACTAAAGTAGATCTTTGAGGCGAGCTACTGGCGCTGTAGCATATGTTTTGATTGGCGTGCCTTTGCGAGATGATCCGCCTTCTTCCATTACGTTAGGTTGTTTTAACTTCCTTATGATTGTGTTTCCTTCACTCGCCGCAAGGGCTGATCAGTGACGTCATGCATTGCAGTGACGTCAAACCGCCCGATGTGGACACGTCATCGCGGAGTTCGTCCGGGTTGATGGAATGCCAATATTGTCATTGTAGTCTGATACCTTTCCCACGCCGAGCGGCGATGCAGTCGGCTGCGAGTTCCCCCTGAAGTCGTTCTCAGTTCGCGGCCTCAAGGATGTCGGTCAGGAAAACGCAGGCTACCCTGTCGCCGGCTGGCCAGAGCCACCCGTCTCCGGGTGCGCTGACTGACTGCGGCCGGGCAATACGCTGCTCTCCGGCGCCGTGCCGCCCCTGACCGACGCGCCACGCCGCCGAGGTTGTGCCGCGCAGGGGCGTTCTCTTGGACCGCGCGAACCCCTCACCCATGCCGCCCCCTGTCGATGTCCGCTGCGCCACCGGCGCCATCGGCGGCCCCGGCGGCCCCGGACGACCCCGACTCCACCGGTGGACCCGACGCTACCGGTCAGCCCCGCTCAGCACGCCGGCGGACGGCGCGCGGGCGACGCCGCACGCGCCGAGGCTGACGCGTGCTCACCAGCCCGCCGTGCTCGGCCGGACCGGGCTGACGCTGCGAACGCTGCATGGGTGTACGGCGTGGGAGCGACGCCGAGGGCGGGTGTCAGTGCGGCGTTCGGGCGGGTTCAGGCACTTGCGAACTATTGTAGGCAGGGTGGTATGTGCTGGCCTCCACGGCCGACCTCAGTGGCGCTGCGGAGTTTCCCGGGATGGAGGTCGAGCGGTAGTTGATTCCGTCGCCGCCAGGCATGGCATAACGTTCTTCTGGTTCTTACGATGCGTCATAGTATCGCCAGCCCCGTGCAGGCCGTGTTGCGGAACGGTATTCAGGTATCCAGATGATCTCTTACGGTATCGGTATCCAGATGATCTATTGTCGGCGGTAAACGATACGGCCTTAGCCGATCGGATTCATATTTCCTGACGACGCATCGCCCAGCCGTGCGCCGGCGCCATCTTTATAAAGCAGAACAGGCGTGAGCACCACAGATGGCAGCACTAGGAGTCTCAGCTGTCGAGGCATATGTGCGCGGCCAGGCGTTACACATGTCTGGTCGCGCCCATGTGCCGTCTGCACGGCTACTTGTGTAAATAGTAACTGTGTTCTGGTAATTTGTGTGTTTGTCAATATATGGCAAAGTTATTTCGTGGTCCGTGCGTTGTATGTGCGCGTGGTCTGGCCACAGCTTGTAGTGTAAGTGGGTAACTTCGTTCGAAAAGACGAAACCGGCGACAGGATGTGCTCCCAGCGATTGATGAAAGGTGGATGGTGTGATTGCAGTTTCATATCGGCCGGTAGCTTCTAATACAATATGCACCGTTGTGACCTCACATAAATGTGTTCTGTGTGCGTGTGGGCTCCGGCCTGCGTTAACATAGAGTCTTTTACGCTCTTTTTGGTAGATGTTTGTAGCCCACATCCATGCTATTTATCGTTTAAAAATCGGTCGTCGCTTTTGATAGTCGCTCGTAGCTCGTATCCGTGCTATTTATTATTGTAAAATCAGGTCACTGCGGAGTGCATAAGCGACGCAGCCTTTAGCATTGCCTGGCCTTGCGCTTTGCGGGTTATGGAGTAGTCAAGGACCGTATAATAGGGAGGGCAGCTTGCTGAGCTACCATGAGAGTGCGCGGTACAAATCGGCACGTACTTGACGCAAGAGACCGCCGTCGTGCCTTTCCACCGGGAGGCAGATAATTCCACTGGGCGTGAGCCCTTGTGACCACCTGCTGACACCGCTGTGTTGCCGCGTGCGCCGCAGGTGAACCAGATGGAGTGGTGGCCTCGGCTGGTGACCACCTGCTGACACCGCTGTGTTGCCGCGTGCGCCACAGGTGAACCAGATGGAGTGGTGGTCTCGGCTGGTGACCACCGATCCGGAGATCAATACGCGCAAGGTGCAGCCCGAGTCGTCCAAGCTCTCCGACCTGGACGGCGAGACGCGCGGCATGGTCGAGAAGATGATGTACGACCAGCGCCAGAAGGAGATGGGTCTGCCCACCAGCGACGACCAGAAGAAGCAAGACGTCATGAAAAAGTGAGGCGTTTGGTCGCGACGGGCGGGGCTGGCAGGGAAGGATAACGTGATCGGGAGCGATCTGTTGGTTCTGTTGGTGGTGTGTCCTGTTGCGGATTTCCCTTAAGTTACGTCAGTGAACTCAATATCATGGCTAGATGCTGTCTAGCCCTGTGGATTCTTGCCAGCCAGCGTGCTTGACTGAACTGAGATGTGATTTCTGTCTCTTGGACGTTATTTTTGCGCCTACCAGCGATTGGACATGCTATCGGCGCCCGCATCGGCACCATTTTGCGTGCCGGACGTGCGAGGGACGCTTTTCCTCGCGTGGCCAGATTGCCCCGCATTCCTGGCTAACCACTGTTTACAGAGAAGGAAGCGTTGGCTGCGCGCTGTTCTAGGTCTGATCGAGTACCCGGTCCGAAAAACTTGACGGTGTAAGGAGTACTTGACGCAGTTGCTTAAAGATGTTGGCCGTAAGTTCACTGAAAACATTGGAAGTGGCCGCCCTCCCGCCGACTCCGTATAGACGAGAGATTACTGCAGCTCCCGCCAGCTCCGTATAGACGAGAGATGACTGCAGCTCCCGCCGACTCCGTATAGACGGGAGATGACTGTAGCTCCCGGCGACTCCGTGTAGACGAGAGATGACTGCAGCTCCCGCCGACTCCGTATAGACAGGAGATGACTGCAGCTCCCGGCGACTTCGTATAGACGAGAGATGACTGCAGCTCCCGCCGACTCCGTATTTCTGTAGATGCAGCACTTGCGGACCCCGCACCAGCCCTAGTGCATTGCCTGCGGGCGGGTGCTCGTAGTCGGTCCGTGAGGTTCGTGCCTGCGCCAGTTGGGCGAGCGCGCCCGCCGTCGACGGTAACACGATCGGCCGCCGTCGACACGTGTCGCCTCTGATCAAATGACCGTCTGTCGACCGCTCGTCGCGAGCCGGCCCGGCCGCCACAATGGGTCGTTATCGGGGCCCCACTCGCCGCCGCACGCCACCTGCCTGGGCACCGCGCGGCCGCAGTTGGAGGAGTGAGCGCCCCTCGAGCCAAGTTGGCCGCCACTTGGCCGGTGGGCCGGCTCATGCACAAACTCAAACTTTGGCCGATGAAAGGCCCGCTCAGCACGGCCGCCGGATGCCAGATCGATCAGATGGGCGGCGATGGACGGCTGCGCTCGGGTACTGCCGGGCCCGCTGTCCGGAGGGAGGCGGCACGGCTGACGGCCGGGGCCGCCGCTGTTGCAGACGGGGCAGAGCGGCGCACGCTCGCAGTGAGGGCGGGTGGTCCTGCTGGCAAGGGTGGAGGTGGGACTGCCGCCAATCGCGTGGTCGGACATTAGACGTGTTATACAGGAGGGTGTTAGTTACGTTCGCTCGGTTAGGAAGCAGGTTAGTCCGCGCGTGCCTACACCTTTGCGAGAGATGTGGCATCGGGAATCTGCGTTTAAATAGCCTTCACAGATAAGTTTTTCGTAAGCTGGGGTACAAGCAAAGTTTGGCGTAGCCGAATCGTATGTCCGTAAACCGATGGATGGCGCCGTATGTGTATTTCTGGTGGCACGAGCAAGAGCAAAGGAACAGGAGCTGGACGCAAATTATTGACCTTCGGCGCCCGGAAGCTCTGATCCTCATCACGAGCAGGAGCACGAGCGATTCGTGCGCAGTGTCGCGCCTCGCGAACTCCCTGTATTTCAGCACGACAGTACAACGCTGCTCGATCCGTTTCGCTGTGCACGATGCAGTCGGGCGTTAGCCGTGACAAACGGCTATAAGCAAACAAGCGCCAAATCGGTCCCGCCGCCCTCGCTGTTGTCATGCGGCTGGGCCCCTGACCTCTCGCTCGGCCGTGTGATGCGCCGTCAGGTGCGCCGCGTCACTGGCAGATGGCATGCACGCCACGCCCTCAGTGCAGCTCACTGAAGACGCGGACCGCGAGCGGTCTGTGGGTCGCTTTGCCCGCGTGAAAGCGGACATGAAAAGACGGTAGCCATCCGGGCCTTGTGCTGCTTGCTGCGGCGCTTGTAATTGGCCTGTTCTGTCTGCCTGCTCGCCTTGTTTGCACTGTCACGGCCCTTGGTGGCATCGTGCCGTTGATCGCGCTGTATTACGCTGCAATTAACGCGCAAACATGTGCGGCAGGCGCCGGCTAGACTACCATGATCACCGGCGCCGCGGGCAAACTTCGCGTATTAGTCATCGATTCTTGGTGCGTAAGTGCGCGCGGCTGCGGGCCGCCCCACGGCTTAATCACGGGGCGGCCGTGACGGATTGACGGCCGGGTCCGTCCGGGCCCTGTCGAAGACGGCCCGCGGGCGCCCGCGTCGCCTCGGCAACCCTTCTGTTTGGCCGCCGGCTGTTGTTTGCGTCCGGCCGTGGTCAGCGCCGTCTGTGCGCGGCTCTTGTCGGCGCCGCGAGCCGACAGCTGCCGTTGGCGGTGTCTAGTCGCAGGACCGGTGGCATGGCCTGGCGTCGCCGTCCTCACGGCTGGCGGGGCTGACCCTGACCGTGGCCTGGCGCCGCCGTCCTCACGGCTGGCTGAGGCTAACCCTGACTGTGACCTGGCGCCGCCGTCCCCACGGCTGGCCAGGGCTAATCCTCGCCCGATTCCGCGTGCGTCCTCAGCGCCTTCCGGCGCCCGTAGTCTCAGGGCGTTGGAGCTTTAGTGCACGCTCAGCTGCTGGGCCTACGTGGCGTCACCCGCCTCTTTCCCTAGAAAGAAGGGCAGGCGCCGTGGGGAGGAGTCGCACCCCGTACCTCGAGTTTCCCAGATACTCAGTTTAACCAATGTGCTATCGACAACTCGTGCGCCCTCGTTCTCCACTGTCAATCTGTGGTCCTGTGGTTGAAACCAGAAGACTAAAACTAAAATGCCTGGGTATAATACTCTCCTGGACCCGTTTATGAGATATTCATCAACTTTTGACCTGTGCCCCAATGACCAATTATTCAAGAATCACATGGTGGCAGGGACACTGGCCGCTGAGTGACAGTTCTCAAAAGTAAGCGAACATTTTCTAAGAAACAAATCTGTCCATACCGAAGCGCTTGCTGTTGACGGACGGTTCGGAAGCTTCGGCCTAAGCAGGGTTGTCTTCTAAAAGTCATGGTTGTTGGAAAGTTTGTTGTCACTGGCCACACAGACATCTGGAAGTAAAGGGAACGTCCTTCGAATGCTTGATTTGTCATTGCTGCTCGAAAAAAAAATTGTAGAGGATGTCGTCTTGTGCAGCTGCTCTCTGAGGGGCATCTGGTACCGCGTTTCGCCAGCCAGTGGCATTTTTCGTTATTTGACCCGCAGTTTGCGTTTTTTTTTTTTGCCGTGTCTCTGCCTGTCCCCTGGCCCACCCACGTCATTAGTGACGTCACCGCGATATATGACTATCAGCTGCCTTGAGATGACATGATTGAGGCATATCGCCCATGGCCATGGTCTCTGGATGCCATAATCCAGCAGCTGCCATGGAATTGAGAAGCCACGCTTCGACGATGCGTGAGAGGATTCACTTCAGAGACAGTTTTGACGATCCTAGGCTTCTGAATGAAGATCTTAAGGGACATTCACGTAGTGCACGATATGCATAAAAGTTCGTCACTGTACAGACAGATAACGTTCAGGAAGGAAAATGTTCGATGTAGAGGGCCGGGCGCGAGGTTTCTGACGTCGCGTGCCGAAGTCGTTCTTCCTAGGGTGTCACAATTACAATGAATCAAGTTAGATACTAAGCCGAAGTTCATAACGATAGTGCATACGTAGCCCGGGATACGTGATACGTGATACGCAATACGCATTGGTGAGATTTAACCCCATGCTTCTTGCCATAAACAAGCGTGGTTTTCTGGAAGACCATCTTGAAAAAGAAAGTATTTCATACTCTTGTTAGTTGTCTTGATAGTTTCCAAAGAAATTGCACTGGCTTGTTATGGATGATTTCTGACCAGGAGGACGCGCTTTGCGTATGACGAGGAGGCGATGACAGATGTGACTGATTTGTTAATCGGACATGGCGGTGTCAAAAGCTCAGATATCTGACAAATATTCCACAGACACCTAATAGTACTGGTTTCTCTGTCGAAGCCAAACACTGGTGAACCGAGATCAGTAGCTTTAAAAGTTCACATCTCTTAAAAACTGAACAAGGGAAGGCGCGCTAGTGCGGCGTCCGCGTACCAGCACACAACTAATTCGCTGAAAAAGTCGCGTGTTTGCGGGCTCGGCCAGGCTCGGTAGTCTGGATCAAGAACATCGCTGAAATCACCGTAGTGTAGGTTTTTGTGATTGTGACGGCTAGGTGTGGCATTGCAACAAAAGTGCGGAATTTTTGGTGAATATTTAGTACAAGGAACAGAGTCATACACCTGCACCTTTTCGGATTCAGTCATTTTCTGCATAGGCCGCATCGCCATACACTCGAGATCGGTCTAGGTAAAGGTGACATGGGCTCCCCGATGGATTTCTGTCCGTCCCGTTGGTTCAGTTGGTTAGAGCGCCTGCCTTCCGATCCACCCACCTGCGCCGGGGCGGGTTCAAGTCGCATTAGGCGCTCGCTATTTGCCCTTGGCAGGTATGCCTGCGGCCGGCGGCAGCGACCATCCTTAATGTCAGATGACGTCAGAGGGCAGGACGGGCCGTGCCGAGCATTGCGGTACGTTACGCTTTCGCCACCAAATCGTGACGTTGAAATGAAACCGTGTGATCGGATGGTAGGTGCAGGGCTCGCACAAGAAGCACTCCTTAGCGTGAGCTCTTGTCCCGGAAATCCATCTACTCAAAAGTATCTTCTTTTGTTGAAATCGCTGGCGAACCTGTGACTTGGACAGTTTTGGGACCCGTTGGCGAGTTGTTCCAGGTATTTTGGCCTAAACTTTGCGGTCGGTGTTAGGTCCGCGTCTGCTCCGGTTGTTGCGGTCCGACTCCCGAGTTCATCGCGTTAGCACGAGAGCGCGTGACCGTCTGCACGTATCTCCTGGTGCGTTATCTATGCGATTGCTAGTTTTCTCTTCAGCCGTGATATGCTAG